GTTGCGTTGTCCTGGGACAAAAAAGGATTTTATTTTGAAGGCAGTAACCGGAAGTGACATCACAAGTATAGCTTGTTGCTGAAAAAGTGGTGCATGAAATTAGCCAATATCTAAATTACAGACAATAAACCATTTATTTCTCTGTAGATGTTTGTTTTTCCCAGGCGTGAAGCAGATTAGGAGAAGTCAGTGTCTTTAATCTGAGCGCAGACTCAGAAGGTTTATGACTAAAACATGCCGGAAATAAAGGTTACACCGTTGGGTGAGTTCTGTTATTATCCTCTAGCTATGCTAAGCTAGTTCTGTGAACATTACACATGTAGTGTTTGATGTTTTAGCTGTTTGTTCGGTGTTTTTCACAAGAGGTATTAAATTATCCCAACCCCTGTGTTTATCAGCTGTACGAAAATAAGCTGTCTGTAGTTTGTTAGCTGTATGAAGCTAGTCTGTAGTTTAACTGTATGAAGCAGAGTCTGTAGTTTGTCAGCTGTATGAAGCTGAATCTATAGTTTGTCAGCTGTATGAAGCTAGTCTGTAGTTTGTCAGCTGTATGAAGCTAGTCTGTAGTTTAACTGTATGAAACTGAGTCTGTAGTTTGTTTTTTCCTCTCTCCAGGTGCTGGACAGGATGTGGGACGCAGCTGCATTCTAGTGTCCATCGGAGGTAAAAACATTATGCTGGACTGTGGGATGCACATGGGATACAACGATGATGTGAGTGAAGAATAAAAGAGAAAATATTAAAAATGTTTAATAAACAGTCTGTAAACCTTTAAAGATCAACCTGAGCTGCTGTTCAAAACCTTCAAAATTATAGGACTCACTGTCATGTTTTAATGTAAATACTTATAAACAATAACACAGTAATACTATTAATGTTGTTACTTCTGACCGTAGCTGAAAAAAATAACTAAGTTAAATTACATGAACAGAAAATGACTTTGGTAAAAATTTCACTGATGAGAAAACTACTCAAGTAAAAGTCATAAAGCTGTTCACAAAAAATGGGAAAGTAAAAGTATTCACTTAAATACTTTCTAAGAAATAAACTGTTGAATTTACTGAAACTAACTGGTTCCACTAAACCAGGTTGAGTAAATTGATCAATGCATGTTTATTCTTTGCTCAATTTAGTCAACTAGGCTCAGTGAAGCCAGTTGACTTTGTTGAGTAAATTCAACAATTCATGTTTTAGAGCAGAAACATTTTCTTTCATGATGAGTTTAAACATATTTAATTTTGTAACGAGTAACTAGGTGTTACATTTCAAAGTAAAGAAGTAAAAGTATTATTTTAGCTTTAAAATGTAGCAAAATAAAAGTAAAAGTAGATATTTAAAATAATAAGTGGTAAAATTACAAATCCTCAACAAAACTACTTAAAGAGTAACTTACCCCAAAATTAACTTTTTTTAGCTGATAAACTGTCTAGAATGTGTCTAAAATGTTATAT